CGCTGCAATCTCATGATAAAACTAATACAGCTGAGGAATTGCTTCTTATGGATGAGCAAAGATAGTGGCTTTTTTTTTAGACAGAATCTACTCCTGGTGAAGATGCTGTGAAGATTGTTAAAATGACCACAAGGGATTTAGATGATTACTTAAACTTAGTTGCTAAAGCAGCAGTAGGTTTTGAAATGACTGACTCCAACTGTGAAATAAGTTCTATAAGTAAAATGCTATCAAACAGCATCAGATGCTACAGAGAAAATTTTTTGTGAAAGGAAGAGTCAATCAAGGCACCAAACTTCAATGTTGTATTATGTGAAAAAATTGCCACAGTGACCCCAAAAGTCAGCCACAACCACGCTGATAAATCAGCAGCCATCAACATAGAGAAAAGGCCCTTTACCAGCAAAACGATTACAAGTCACTGAAGGTTCAGGTTATTGTTTGCAATATTTAGCAATAAACCCTTTTTAGTTAAGATATGTACATTGCTTTTGACATGTACATTGCTTTTTAGAAATAGTGCTATCACATACTTAATGGACTACAGTATAGTATCAATGTAACTTTTTTTTTCTGATTTATCTATTTTATTTGGGTCTCAGTACAATAAGGAATAAAATGTAACCTTTTTTTAGGGGGAAAAGACACTTGCTTTCCATTTCATTAAGTTTTAGAAACTAACCCGAAGAGAAGGGAGGGAACTCCACCCACTTCAAAATTTCAATACTTTTATTCAGAACATCTGTAAAACCAAAATGCACTTTGGAATAGACTTTTAATCTAAAAGTACCATAATAACATTTTATTAGTTACATAGTCAATAATAGTCATTGAATCCTAAAAATAATATTTTTTCTGGTAATTAAAATCTGAAAAATACATCTGCTAAATTTCAACTTTTGATGCCTCCTCTAACTTTCAGAAGAAAATAACATTCAGAATTCTGTCTTCACTGATGAAAGAGAAGACAAAAACTAATACTCTACATTGAAACTTTGTTATTTATCATGATCCAGTGGTATACTTGTTTATAAACATAAATATAAGAGCCAAACATTCAAAGAGAATGGGACCCAAACTTTGTCACTTCAAATCACATGTTTGGACAAAAAAAAAAAAAAAAACAAACATTCTGCAAACCCTGCTATCAATTTGAGTACTGATATTTAAAAGTCTTATTTGTTCTTATTCGAAGCACTTTGTATATGACATTTGTTTTTCCTGCTGCTCTAAAATCAGACCTGACTTTCAGTTAACTATGCTCTCCACTGTCCTTGAGTCCTGGTCTAGATTCTCTGTAGTTCCAATTTTTTCAGAGAACGAACTCCTTGTCTCGTGGATTTGGGGAACATTGCTGTCCAGCTGGGTGATTTTTATATGTACTGGGAAATGAAAAAATTTGTATAACTTGCTTTATTGTGATATTTGCTTTATTGCAGTAGTCTGGAACTGAACCAACAATATTTCTGAGGTATTTCTCTAAAAGGACAATTTCAGGATTCTTGTGGTGATGGAAATTTTCTGTATTTTGTCTATATTTATTTGTTCTGTATTTTGTATCCAGGTTGTGGATACACAAACCTGTATGTGTGGTCAAACTGTATAAAACGAAATAAACACACAAATACACACACACACACACACACATACACACACGTAAGTACATGTAAATCTTTGGAAATAAGCGTAACATCAGTGGATAATGAAACACACGTGAAAATCCTGCAATATTTGCATTACAGTTTGAAAGATGTTTCCGTTGGGGGAAGATGGGTACATGGTACATGAGGAATGCTTGCATTATTTCTTACAATTGAATATGAATCTACGATAATCTAAAAAACCTTTTTTTCTAATTTCATATTTGGTACTTCTAACTTTAGAAAGATGACTTAGTATCGTTTCATAATTTTGAGATAGGTAGATATTTTCATCCAGAAATTTCAAATATCAGCAACTGAAGTCTAAAGAGATGAAGTGCCTGACGTGCAGTCACTCCACAGCAGCTATGAAAAAATACCAGTTTCCTGCTTTCCCCCAAAGTACAGGGCATTTTGCATTCTGAATGATGAAGCAGCACAGTGGGTTGTCGGCTGGGTGTAATTAATCCTCTCGAAAAGTACACCTCGTTTCCAGAGGGGAAACCTGGCCCTTTATGTACAGTATTAGGAAAAGATTTTCTAAAAAAAAAAAAAAAAAAAAAAAACACAGAAGGAATTTGGTAAAACAATTAGATTAGACCTAAAAGAAATCATAAAATAAGTCAACTAGAATTAATTAACATCCTGTATTAAAATTATTTAAAGTAATAAAATTTTGGTACAATTCTTATTCAAGCATGGAAAAACAATGTTTGCAAATGTTAGAGAAAAGAACAATACTAACTCATAAGTAGCTAAAAGAAGTTTAGAATGGCTAAAGTATAGTGTGTGAGAGAATGATGCAGAGAAGCGATGCTGGTACCAGAAACCCAGCCCTGCAAGATTGTAAACAAAAGAGAGAAATGAGCTTATTTGCCTTTCAGACACACCTTGTTGTCTATCAGGCACTTCTCATCACTTAAATACATTGTAGGCTGGGTGCGGTGGCTCACGCCTGTAATCCCAGCCCTTTGGGAGGCCGAGGCGGGCTGATCTTAACGTCAGGAGTTTGAGACCAGCCTGGCCAATATGGTCAAATCTCGTCTCTACTAAAAATACAAAAATTAGTCAGACGTGTGGTACGTATCTGTAATCCCAGCTACTCAGGAGGCTAAGGCAGAAGAATCGCTTGAACCCAGGAGACGGAGGTTGCAGTGAGCCAAGATGGCGCCAGTGTACTCCAGCCTGGGCAACAGAGAGAGACTCTGTCTCAAAAAACAAACAAACAAACAAAACCTTGTGTTTTCTCCAATAAGTAGCTCTTTTATCATGGTTTTAAAAATAGCATGTGATAATATTTCACTAGGTAAAATAACTAGTGGAGGAATTTATACAGATTCAAATGGCTCCTGTATATTTAATTACTTTAGAAAAGGTTTCCATGATACACTGTTAGATAAAAACATTGTTATAGGTATAGTGTGATGAAATTCTTGATAAAAATGATAAAACCATAACCTATATAGCTGCATGTATATTTATATATTAATACATTTGTAAAGGCAATGGAAAAACAGCAAATTATGACCAGTGATTCCATTAGAAGATTAGGAATCAAGGAGAGACTGCAAACTTTAATAGAGCTGCATAAAATGTTTTTGAATAATTAAATACAGAATTTTCTACCATTGTAATTCACATGATGGAGATACGTGAGTTGACTGAGACAAATACAAATGTTCCTGAGCAGCAGTGTCCAATAGAAATGCATTGCAAGGCACCAATGCAAGCTACATACATATTTTTCGATTTTCTAGTAGCCACATTGAAAAAGGAAAAAAGAAACATAACTCGTTTAGTTAGTATATTTTAAATCAATACTTCATAAATACTATCAGTTCACTACGTAGCCAATATAAAATATTTATGAGCTAGTTTACATTATTTTCATACTGTCTTAGAAATCTGGTGTGTGCTTCACACTTACAGCACATCTTAATTCAGACTTGTCACACTTGTAAGTGATTGATAGCCGTATGTGGATAGGAGCTACCTTATTGAACGGTGCAGCTCTAGAGGAAATTAATGGTTTTGCTGCTGGTGAATTTGACCTGCCGAGACATCTTCACTGTCAGCCTAGTAACGGTGTGACTGTACCCAGGTTTGGTCCCACTGTCCCAATCTTAGTTCAACTGTACATTGTCCATCTCTATCGTTTTTCAGTTGAGAAGCTTTGATATTATTTAATACATTTTATTATTACCAATATGCATATAGGTTACCATAAAATCTACACTTTCAGTGAAAATGAACAGTGTATTTTCTGAAAACAGTAAGAAACCAACTTTGAAAAAATTCTCTGAACACAACTTTGTAGAAAAACAAAAGATAACATGGTATTAATTCTGAATTTTAACTTGAATGTTTGGACAACTATATCTTCTACAAGGGCAAAGAGGACAAAACGTTCCCCCAAAAAAAAGTCAGTGGTCAAAGCATTTATAATGTGATGTCTCATCCAAATATCGAGATGAGGAGAGGTGTTTGTTTAAGCCCCCAACTTGACCACCAAACACCTGGGTAAATTTAGATAATTTCCATAAATTCCCTGGGCTTTACTTTCCCCAGTTATCTATAGTGAACTTGTTTAACATGGTTCTAAAATTTAAATTAAAAAAGGCACGTGATAACATGTATAAATAAAATGCCTTTTCAGACATTGTAAAATCAGAATCATGGTTTTGGAGTTAAGAGGAATGCCAGTAATATTGAATTTCTAAATTCTATGATTAGTTTTAAGTCAGGATTTCAGATAATCCAAAAAAGAAAAATATATTGTAAGCATGTTTACAGGGCCACAATGGATGGTTCTTACTAGGTTGAGTTTTAAGGACACTGAGCATGGAAGGCAGCTGTGTACACTGTAGAAGACAGATAAAAATACAATACACAAGGACTAAGAATGGACAGATTTCAAAACTTGGTGGCCTCTCTTCAATAAAGAGCCGTGAGACTGGATAGTCATTTATTCAACTAAATCCCAGAGTTATTAAGGATTATCGAATGTTAGAAGAATATATTCTTATGCCATTGTTACTTATGTTTCCTCCACCTTTGCTAGAAAATTGACCTTCCTTCTTTAAGAATAGCATGGTAAGTCTACTATCCTTGACTTTTCATTAATTTGTTTGATCACTAAAGTATTTCAAGTTGTTGTCTATGTCAAAGCAGGAAAGTGAGTATGTTTTTGCATTAGTTTAATTGCCATCCAGTAGATAGAGTAACTATTTTAAGAAAATTTGATATACAAATATTCAGCTCATGAAACAGATACATTTTGAGGATGTTTAGCACTTTCAAAAATTACTCATCGTTTTATAAAATAATTCACCACCATTTAAAAAAATATAGCCAATTTCCTTACTGAAGTTAATATAGATTTATTTGCACAGAAATTTTAAGGAAAACCTTTATTACAAATGATGAGGTACATCTTTATAGCATACTTTCTTATAAATGGAGCTTCCAAAATATACTTGTGATAAACAAAGTGTTTTAAACTTACCTGCTAGTCTATTAAACCGAATTTTCAACACGCTCCTTCACCCAATTCAGACACAAAATTTAAGAAAAATAGATTAAGATTAAGAGAGTATGAAAAAGGAGAAATATTGTTTATGTAAATGAAGGTGACTTCAAACTTCTCTGTAGCATTTAGAAATTTCTGTGGATAGAAATATGAGTAGAAATGAAAATCCTGAAGTACTCACTTACAGACCTCAAAGAAATAACATTTCTTTGCTTGCTATCCTGCTGTTGTTTTACTTTTCTTAGTTTATCCTTACTCATCTTCATTAATGCTACATAATATCACTACATATTTAGAATAGCATTCAATTCTAGTTATATTAGTAGCAGCTGGTACTAATAATATCCAACACTTTGTTCATACTCATAAACACATCTGTCAGCAACATCTGGGGGTTGTTAGAATCATCCTTTCTAGGACACTGAAAAGGATGGTCTTACTTGCTCCAAACACATTCCTCTACTACCATCATGTTCCCCTATAAAATGTCAGCACCTTAACCCCTGATGTAAATAAGCTACTGGGGAAAAAAGGTTTTGTTGCTTGTACTGTTACTGGTGTTGCTTGAAGGAACAGAGAGAATTTGAAATTAAATTCTGGTAAAGTATGTATAATGGTGATGTGTAGTGTCCTGACTTTGGGAATAAACAAAACGAAACAGCAATGCACAGGAGAGGCAAAAAGAAATTAATGGAAAATATCCCAAATGTTAAGAATAGGCCTACAATTTCTCTACTACAGTATGTATGATTTAGAAAAAATTGAGTAGCCCCAGGATTTGCTCTGAGCCCTAATATACTTGAGATAAAGATGTTCTTGAAACAATAAATACATTCATTAGGCTTGTGTTTCTCCAAATCTATCTGGTCCATTCTTAAGTCCCCAAAAACTAGATTTAGGAGTGAACAGGGGCTTAGTGCTCCTGGCTTTTCTGAAAATTAAAATCTAGTATTTCAAATTGAGTTCTGAGATCACATACTAAGTATGTTTTTAAAAATCTACTAGCTTTAATGTCATTTAGTCTAAAGAATCAAATACAGCACATTTTATATTTTGCACATTTCTCTTGCTTTAGAAGAAGGGACACTTATGAAGCTTACCATACTCATTCTCTCTCAAGGTATAGGACTTCAGAAGTGGCCATGGTAACCCCTGTATATGCATATTTTATAACTTGCTCTTTTTATGTTCTGAAAGGCAGTACAATGCAGTGGTGAAGGGAATGGCTCTGATGGACATATCACAGCTCCATCACGAGCTGTGTTACCTTAGCCAGTTAGTGCTGGTCTCAGTTTCATCATCTGTAAAATGGGGACAAAAACAGGAGCTACTTCAGAGGGCTGTTAAGAGCAGTACGTATATGTTAATAGGTGTATAGGAATAGAACAGAGACTGGCATTGTTATTGCTGTTATTCCTTATTTTTGATGTTTGTTAATGAGAAACTGAGTCCCATAACATTATGCCGTTTGGGGTCAATGATAAACTATATGCAATTTCTGAGGTCTGCAGAGTAATTTTTGAAATGAACTTAGCATTTTTCCATTTATTTGAAATAAATGCTAATTTTATGTGGTGAAGAAGCTTCCCATAGTGGCTTAAATAGACACAAGCAATGTAATTTAAGCTTTAAGTTTCTAGTACCAATTTTATGTAAATTGGAAACACTTTCCTTGTAATAGTTCAGTGAATTATTATAAGCTAAATTATCTTGCAAACAACAGAAAGAAAAACAAGAAATAAGAATGCTTTTCCTATAGGCAAAACTATATATCTATATCTGCTGATAAAATTAATAATGATTTTTGAGTGATTTTAATTTTAAAGAAATATATAATGATTACTGGTGAAAAGAGGAGACTGCTAGGTTTTTGTACTTCTTTTGAATTGATTACAATATTGCGTTGATTGAAAATACTGGAATTCAACTTTACTTAGATTTAGATTGTTTAGAATACATTCATTTTCATTTGGATATTATTAGTATGCAATCATCTTGCTTGTTAAATGTGCTTACAGTATTATGGTTTATTCTTTTCTATAAGTGAGAATTTTTGCCATATTTTTGAATTTCAGTTATTCATAAAGACTCATATTTATACTGATAAGCAGTGGAATCTGAAATAGGTAATTAAAAAAAACTGGAGGGGCGAGTTTTTTACTGACAAAATGTCATTGAAAATCATCAATCATCAAAATGTATTAAGACAAACACTTCTTTTACTTACTGAAAGGAAACCCTGGAACAACCTAAAACCCTACAAAGTATTTGTGACTTTGAGGGGGTTTAGACATGACTCCACGAGAAGAAGACTTGCTTGCTTTAATTGTGTACAACAATTATTTACATGTCCTTAAGAAATAATTTGGTAATATTTGTGTTTTAAAGTCAAACTGTAGGACTAGGTGAAAAGTCCTTGGCAAGGAACCCTCTCTAGAGACCCTAAAAAATTATGAAAAGCTATAATATTTCAGCCACATTGGTTTTTGCGTATAAAAATAGCTATTTTAGGAGTCAACTACCACATGAAATAAATGACATTTGTTTTAATTGAAAAAGATAGCTAAAATGTTTCTGTGGGTTATTGCAACAGTACAAGAATACAAGGTGCATTTATTTATTAACAAAAACAATTGTAAAACAAATTGTGAAAGCAAAAGCAGGCTACAAAACAAAAAGGTTTTTGATTGCCTTTGCCTTATTTAAACATGTTACAGGTTAATATGCCACAGTTGAGAAACGCTATAAAGTGTAACTTAGCATTTGCTAATACAATTTAAACATTTTCCCACACCCAGAGCACTACGGAAAATATATATGTGTATGGTAAACGCTTCCTCCTTCAAGTATCACAATCTTGTGGTCACATAATCTTCCTGGGTGACTGTGTCTGGGAGGCTTAGATCATAGTCTATACTCGAGTCCTCTTCTTTTGCATGTTTCTCCTTTGGTATTATAGGAACCGTGTCCTCCACCACCACCTTCTCTGACTTGAATGGACACACTCTCTTGCCTACCTGTAACCCCAGTGTGTCCGTATTCCTTTCTCTATGGTCTACTAACACACATTGTTCACTGAGACCGGGAATGCTCAGGTCAGCCCGTGAAGCTAATCCTCGAGATTCCAGTTGAATATTTCTCTCAAGTGGTCCTGCAGCCTGTTGACGAGCAACTTCTTCTGAAACAGAGAAGATTTGGTTTGCATTTTGCTCAGCAGCATTTTGTTTTGATCGTCTATGAAATAACCCAAAGTTTTTGATATCGGTCACAAAATTCACTTTTCTCTGCTTCTCCCTGGGTGGCTCCTGCACCACCAGAGCAGAGCCATTGCTTATGTTATGTCTTTCAGAGGCAATTGCTGCTGATCTCGGATGAATCAGGGTGGTTAAATCAAAAAGGCTGAAATTCTTTTTCTTGTCCTTGCTATTACCTTCGTTATCACTCTTTTCATCTGAGTCTGCCGAGTTTGAAGACTCCTTCGAGGCATTTGCAGATTGTATTGTGGAAAGTTTGCTTCCTCTTAGTAATCCCAGAACTTCAAAGCGGAAACTAGAAATGTCTTGCTTTAGTTCCTATGTAGAATTTAAAATGAAAAATTAGGTTAGGACTTAAACATTTGGAAATACCATTTTCTTGTCTCATGTATAGGTTAGAACTGTTTTCACTCCTTTTCAGAAACAAGGATTCTACTCTCCTGTGGTTCTATTTAGAATTCCAAGTTCTCTCACAGATACTTGATGTCATTTTGATGTCTACTAATTTCCTTATTGGAATTGGGAAGGACACTTCCTAAGGTTGATGCAAAAAGAAACATGAGTTATCTTTGCCACCAACGCGCAGCTGAGTATATTGGGTTTCTCTGGGACTACAGTTTCGAAGACTTCCTCTCCAAATGAGTCATCTGCTGCCAAGTTACTTCACTGTCTCTGGGGTGTATTTCATAGGATTTTTAATATTGGCACATTTTTCTGTCCACAGGGATATCTGAAAATTATGTGGAGCCTAACTTTTTAAGAGCTGGTAGTTACTTGCAGTTGTTTACTGTCTTAAAGAGGACTTTCCCCCTAAATCTGGGTCAGCCTCTGCATCCTAGGAATTTCTTCGGATCTAACGACATTTCTTAGACTCATCCTTTTTCCTTGTCTTTTGGGGCAACTGAATTCTCAGTCTTAACCTGATGGCAGCCTTCTTGGTGGCTTCCTGCCCTAACCTATCTCCTAAAGCAACATGAATCATTTAACATTACAATTTGAACTTTATGACTGCAAAGAAAATCTGGGCTTCTAGCTAGTTTTCAACCTGCACTTTAGGTTTTGTAATTTCTCTATCTTCTTACCTAATTCACTACTTCATTCTCACGTTCAAACCTGCTATTTTCTATGTTAAATATCTCCTATAGATTTTGTTTAATGTGTTTGTTTGTTTTGGCCTGTAAGATCTTATGGACCTTAATCATTCTTCCAAAATCTCTAAACACTAACTAAATAATTTTAACCTAAATTATTTTAAACATGTGATTCAAGAATATAGTATTTTACACATTTTACTTATTTCCTCTTACACAATTTAAAAAATATCAAGGAGAATGTTTTTAAGTGTATTAGTTACAATTAAACTCAAATCTTAAATTTTCTGCTATCAAAGTTTTGCAGAACACACGAAGTTTTGTTGTTAGTGTGTTAGTTACTAAATGTTTCAGATTTTAAGATCAGGCTGAAATTTCAGAAACAAGCTCACTCTGGGATCAGGTAAGTCAGAATGCCTTAATCACTAGGCTTTTCTCTGTATGTGTAAAACATTGTATTTTGAGAAGAAATTTCATCACTAGCTTTTCTTTTTACAGGTCCGTAGGGTTTCAGTGGAAAGATGAGAAGGCACACAGGCTTGCTGGAACACACAGCCACGTTTCTAGCTCTGATTTTAAATGTCCTCTATCTGGATTAATATTCTGCACAATCTGCCTCTTGTGATGGACATGAAAACGGTTACCTTAAAGTTCTCTTCGGTCAGGCCTTCTTCAGTTTTAGCATCTCTAATCATTGCAGCAACGTATCGCTTCACCAGGTTCCTCATAACTTCCTGAGGCATTTTAGAACAAGAGTATTGATACTCAGTGAGTAAATACATTTCCTCCTGAGTCAGTTCTGAAGGGGGGACTGCATTTTATTTTAATGAAAATTTCAAGACATAGTACAAGGACAACTTACTTGGTACTGGTGATGTCTTCTCAAATTATCAGCAGCTCGCCTCTGAAAAGGAAAAGGACATTCCTTTCAGATTATACTGTTACATTACTATTCTAAAAAATAATTTATTTTTTTAAATCAAGAATGTTTTTAATTCTCATTTCTTCAGTGTGGGAGTTTTACTAGTCAATGGGCAATGGCTAAAGAGTGCTGCACATGGGCCGGGCGTGGTGACTCACGCCTGTAATCTCAGCACTTTGGGAAGCCAAGGCGGGTGGATCACGAGGTCAGGAGATCGAGACCATCCTGGCTAACATGGTGAAACCCCATCTCTACTGAAAATACAATAAATGAGCCGGGCGTGGTGGCGGGCACCTGTAGTCCCACCTACTCGGGAGGCTGAGGCAGGAGAGTGGCGTGAACCCGGGAGGCGGAGCTTGCAGTGAGTGGAGATCGCGCCACTGCACTCCAGCCTGGGGGACAGAGCCAGACTCCGTCTCAAAAAAAAGAAAAAAAAAAAGTGCTGCACATGAATCAAAAGAAAGAGTGAACAAACGTGTATAATCTATATGACATTTGAAACGCAGAGTAAGTTAACAATGACAGAACTGTTGTTCTCATACAGGACACAAGATGATGAAAAATTAGTTAATTAGAGTTAATACACACTCAAAATCAGTTGAAACGATGATGAGAGATAGTACATATCAAATAGAAATTTAAAAGTCTTCATAAATATTAACATGGCATGATTAAGAAGTTATGTTGTTTAACAGTTAATCAGAAATCTTGTTAGTTGCTGAACTCTCCAATATTAATTTCAATTGTATATACAGTAAGAGGAGATTCCTGTTTAAGTAGATGGCTGGATTTAACAGAATAAATAAATAAAGGATTCTGTTGAAACACAGCATTTATTAACTCATTTAATAAATTAAATGTGAGTCCCAGCTCATATTCTGAAGGCATCAGAATGGTTTGAGAGTAGAGGTGGGGTAAGCACAGAGCAGTGATTTGAGAGTATGGAATAGAGAGATGGGTTGTTTAATGATTGAAAAAAGTCCATTATGAGTTGAGTTAAATAATAAATGACATTAAAGTTATATATTTGCAGATTCTCAAGTATTCTAAATATATGAGAAAAAACCCTACATAATCCCAATTTTATGTATGTTGAATAAACATCAGCATTGATTCTTCAGGAAGAAAACCGGCCAAAATAATGTAAAATAAAAATATCTCTATAATAAAGGAATTAATTTGGTAAATTATGAGAAAGCAAAAGGGATAATATATCTTGGTTTTAAAATGAGGCTTTTGATCTTGTTCCTTAATAAATAATCACAGGCTGATAAAATAGAATATTGAAAAGAGCTGTGCCTGCATCACTGTGAAATGATAATTTAAATATTAAACGATTTAAAATAAACTATTTTCTTCTCTTCAGAGAAATAGAAGAAAATGCTATTTTCACTGGCCATAAGGATGTATCCGTCTTTCATGACTAGTAGTGATTTGTAGGAACAGATGAGACATGCTTAGCTTCCTAAAGGTCACTAATTATTTTGACTATCATTCACTTTTGCATGAGAAATACATTTTGAGAAAAACATTTAAAATAGGATTAAGCTATCAATTTAAAAACTCAGAAATTAGAAACAACACAAATGTAGAGCATCTTGAAAAAGCATGGCATGGGAATTTTATGGCTGGGCCACCAGATGGAGGTGTCTGACTCATATTGAGACACAGCTCAGCTGAAACCTAAGACAAACGGCACTTCTAAAAGGAAACACACAGTCTTCTAGATCTCCTTAAATTTACTTAAAGTAAACTAAAATACTAAAGTGAGTCGTACATAAATTTCTTTAACACTCTCACCCTAAATATTATAACAGAGATCTGATTTTCATTATTTAAGTAGCTAGAAACTCTCAATTTAATATAGAAAGAATTTAGTCTACTTAATTTTTATTGTTTCGAGGTTCTATAATGTTTCACTACTGTGTTTTAGAATCCTATCCTTCTAAAATCCAATAAAGACATTTTCAACAGAGAGCAGTTAGAAGTCAAGATTTAACTTTAAATTTCTTTAGCATCAAACTACAATTGAGGATGACAGAATCAGAAAATTATGAGTAATAAGTGAAAATTATCATGATACATTTTAGTATTAAAATGAGTACAAACTGTCTTTCCTTCAGTAGAATCTTACTCATCCAAAGTCAAATTTTTAGTACAAATACAAAAAGGTCAAAGACTACATTTGAAATGATAATTCTAGGTTAATTTTCTTGGGAAAAAATTTTAAAAATCAAAATAGCTTTTCAAAAAGAAGAACACTAAAAATGTTCACTATGTACCTTTCCGGTGTTATTCAGTTTCTATAGTCCAGGTTTAAGACTAAGTTAATGCAGTTCATTGTTTTTGCCAACCAATTATTCTCCATAATTATGTGGTAATACCACAAAACTATTTTTTAGTTGCATGAAATTTTATCAGGCAATGAACTTCAACATCCTGGCTAGAAAAATAGGAATGGATGAAGTTAACCATCTTCTGAACCTAAAACTCAAAATGAATGCAGTGCACTCACCAAATAATTAATGCTAAATTATGCAGCTGATAGAGTTCTCATCTGTTTAATCTCTGTTTCCCTGATTAGCATGACAGAATAGGCTGTTTAGTGATCATTACCGTTATGCCCTTACTTTCTGGGAGAAAGTGTGGTGTGATGTTAAGAACATGGTACCAGGGGTTACACCTGGGTTTGAAGCTGACTGTGCCTAGTCAGGGAGTTTAACTCTGACATCCTCCCTCTTCCCTGATTTTTTTATTTTACAGGGTGAAGATAAACTCCACGGGTAGTTTTGAAGATTAAATGAGATAAGAGATTTATGGCATCTGTCGCTAGCTAATGTTAATTCTTGTCCTTTGCATTTTGTTTTCCTTTTTGATTAATAATATGATTTAACAGCGTTTTAAAATATCTTGATTCTCAAAGCTTGTGCATAGCAGGAAACATATTACAATTACCTCTGAGAAAGTAAAATAATATACTTAGATTTCACTGTGTCCCTTTGCGTGATTTTGATGGCAATTCATGCTTGTGGAGAGCATTTCCTTCAGCTAAATCATTAGATACCTTCAGCTTTGGCATTAGAGAGGTTTAGAGGTAGGAAACTTGCATGTAAGTGACAGAGTAAGGGGATAGTTCTGGTAAATTTGGACAGATGTGACCCAGACTCTGTAGGCAGTCATCTTTTGGGGGAGCCCAAAAAGTTTACAAGCTTTTCTGCATGACATTGAATTTTTGCTATGACGTTAATGAGACAGCCATATGTGAGCACTGATATAGAAACTCAAAGGAAAATTCAGAGGTCATAGCAAAAAGGAACACTGGCTAGGGGTTCCTGCCCAGCGGACGAATGCATCTCCTACAACATGTTGTTACTGAAGAGCCACTCTGATTTGGCGTCTCCTTTGGTCAAGTTACAGAGCAGAGTCTCCAGGCCTGGGGATGAGAGTTCCTCCTTTGCCTTTGTCTCTGGCTAAGCTCAGGGATATTTCTCTTCAGGGGCTCAGGATGATTTTCATGGGTTGAGGCAAGGAGAAGCCTACTTCTAGGAAATGCAAGATATTGGGGAAGCTGATTGTCTACCTCAGATCTCAGGTTTTTCAGTGCAGGAACCATGAGTTGGGAGAAATTGTTTATATTCTTGGTGCCAGGCAGATTGAAGGGAAGGGCACCTGGATATGGAAATATGATGGAGTCTTGCTTTGTCTCCAGTCTGGAGTGCAGTGATCTTGGCACACTGCAACTTCATTCTCCCAGGTTCAAGCCATTCCCCGGCCTTACCTTCCTGAGTAGCTGGGATTACAGGTGCATGTCACCATGCCTGGCTAACTTTTGTGTTTTTAATAGAGACGGGGATTTCACCATGTTGGTCAGGCTGGTCTCGAACTCCTGATCTTGTGATCTGCCTGCCTCAGTCTCCCAAAGTGCTGGGATTACAGGTGTGAGCCATGGTGCCTGGCCGGAAATACGATTCTTTTACCATGTGCCAGGAGTTTTTCATTTCTCTGTGACCCCTGGAAAGGGCTTTGCCTCCTATCTGAGTCCTGGGATATTTCTGGTGATAATCCTGACACTGTATATTTGGGTTTGGTTTGCCATGGTGGGGAGTAAAGCCAGCTTGTCTCAAGGCTCCATTTTGGAGCCAGAACTCTTAACTTGTAGGGCTAATTTAAGGTAGATTTATTAAGTGACTACATGTGTATGGCAATAGAGTGTAAGAAACCAGAGATGAATAAAGCACATTTTTGCCCTTAAATGGCTTATAGTCCAAAAGGTGGATTGCCAAGATCATGAATGACTACACATGAAGGCAAAATACGAAAGAAAACACGGGAAGTGCTGTAAGTGTGTTAACTGAGTACAGGGGAGAAGGAGATAATACTGTGCGAAGGAAAGAAGCCAGAACAGCCCTCTTATAGAGAATAGGGTATTACGTGGGACATGAAGCAATCATAGGATTTGGACAAGGGGAGGTTCACAGGTGTTCCAGACGATTGGAATACGATGAGCACGTATGCTAGGGTTAGAAAGTGAGAGGCACATTATGGAGACTTCTGGCACGATAGTTGCAAAGTCTTTGCTATTGGGAATATACAGATGAGATTGTAGTGGGAAGTTAGCATGGACTGTTAATGTAGAATTTTAGATGGCACATGAATCCGGTGGTTACTAGGCACTTGGGGATTTTGACTAGTTGAGTGACATGTGATGAAAGTTTAATTTCATTGATAGTCATCTAGCAGCAGCATCAGGTGGGAATGAGACTTCCTAGCTTCTGGTGGTGGCTGTTAATTCTTGGAGGTCTTTGGCTTTCAGGTGCCTATCTGCAATCTCATATGGTGTTTTTCTCGGGTCTCGGTCTTGACATGGCCATGTTCTTACAATGACCCTATTCCAGTATAATCTCACCTTAACTAAGTATGTCTGCAATAATCTTACTTCCAAATAAGGTCACAATCTAAGTATGGGTGGTTAGGACTTCAAC